TAAACCCGTATTTAAGTAGTGTTTGGTTTAATTTTGGTGAGTCTTTCAGTTATTTTTGTTACTACGTTGTTGCTACCAAAATTTAAACCTTACATATTAAGGTCATTGATAAGTTAATCATGCTTGAGTTATGTTTCTATACCTTCTACTTTCTTAGTAGCAAGAAAATGATTATCGAGATGCTACTATCTGCTTTCCTAACAAATTCCAAATGAACATAATCATTTGAAAATTCATCAGTGGCATGAGCCACATAAATAACACCGAAAATGGAGCAAGATACATCTGCTGTAAATGGTTGCAAATGTGTTCAAACTACAAAATGATTTTAGGTGTGTTGTATAATGCCGTGTTCAAGGAAAACTTTGCTAACATTATATCATTATGGTGTAGTCTTTTTTCTTCTTCTTTTTGCATAAGACTATTTTCCAGATTTTTTTTGGTCCATGCCAAACACACCGAAGTATACCAAAGATGAGTTGGAGTACAAAAATTAGAGACGCAAAAAAAATTAGTAAGTAAAACAAATAGACTTTTAATACCTTTTCATCTTGTAGAACAAATTCAATGAAGAAATTATTGTCTGAGTTGTAACAATGCAGGACTTCCCATAGACGATCAACACGAACTTTCAACTTGTATTGCATCCTCAAAGTTGTTATATCCTTAATGAAAAAAATGCGATTAGCCATCTTTTGCATAATCAGTAAGTTATCTTGAAATCAATTGACAACATTAGGAAGGATAGAATGGAAGTACCGTGTATTAGTAGAAGAAATAAAACTGTCGAAGTGCTTTGTTAGTACATGTAAAAAGTAAGAAGTTAATAGTTTAAAGTAACTAAAAATAGTAACAACTAATGATGATGAAATAAAATATAATCATACCAATTGAAGCTGTTGAGAACAACAAATGTAGCGAAAAGGTATAAGATATGCTTTCATTCTCCAAGTAAATTTCGGAAAACCTCTTTGTAAACCACATTTATTGCTTCATTTGAAATTTGTCCATCTTCATCATAAACCAAAATCTTTAATCCCTTTCTATTTGTAACACGTGATAGAGCAACGTAAAGCTGGCCATGTGTGAAGACTGGTTTTTTCAAATATAAGCCAACATGAGATAAAGATTGTCCTTGACTTTTGTTTATCGTCATTGCAAAGGATACAACTATTGGAAATTGTCTTCGTTGGAACTTAAAAGGTATTCTTGCATCAGATGGAGTTAATGACATTCTCGGAATGAACACCTTTTGTCCAGCCATATTTCCCGATAATAGTTTTGCTTCGATAACCCGATTTCCGAGTCTAGTGATGATTAATCTTGTTCCATTACATAGCCCTGAATATGGGTCTATATTTCTCAATAACATCACTGGGACACCCACTTTCAAAGTAATAACATGATTTGGAATTCCAGAACACTTAATAGTGTTTAGGAATTCAGGTGTATGTACGTGTTCCAAACCTGTAAAAGCATCGTCTGACATGCAAATTATATCGGAACTCAAATATGTTTTTGGTTCAGTATGGTTTAGTGATACCATGTATTCATTGATTGATTCTACCATGTCAAGTGTGGGAGCAAGAATTCCTCTTTGTTGCAGGTATGTTATATCACTGCAATGAGTTAAAAAAACTGGATATGTACTTTCCACAATAGCTGAAGTTGGATCGCCAGAATTATTTATGATTAGATCATCAGGGATGTGAACTTTATCAATACCACCAACAGAATTTCCAATGATACCATCACCTATTGCTAAAATCCAATCAGCAAATTATTTTAGATCATTCAAATCTGAATCCACTTTATTTCCTTCCAACCTCATATTTTGTGTTAGCTTTAACACTTGACAGTGATTCCACAAATACGAAGAATTAAGGGCAGCGTTAACAATATCTTGACTAGTACCTTTTGGAATGACTGGAAGTATTTGTCTAAAGTCTCCACCAAGAACAACCGTTTCCCTTCCAAATGGTCGATCTAAATTGGATGCATCTTTAAATCTAAGAATATCTCTTAGAGTTCTGTCTAGAGCTTCAAAACAATATCTATGCATCATTGGTGCTTCATCCCATATAATTAACTTTGTCTTGACAATCAATTTTGATAAAGGAGTACCTTGTTTGATATTACAGGTTGAATCTTCAGTTGTATTGAGTGGGATTGCAAATCTCGAATGAGCTGTTCGACCTCCTGGTAATAGAAGAGATGCTATTCCACTGGACGCAACTGTTAAAACAATATCTCCTCTACATCTTATGGCAGAAGACAAAGTTTTCCAAATAAATGTCTTCCCGGTTCCTCCATGACCATATAAGAAGAAGAATCCACCTTTGTCCTCATGCACTGCTTTGATAATTCTGTCATAAACTAACTTTTGCTCCATTGTCAATTTAACCAATAATTCTTCATGTTCTTTAGACAAAGAGCACCTATTGTAATGCAATTCTTCACATATTAGTGTATTGGTGTTATCAACTTCCTCTTCATTGAAAACCGGGCTTGGCATTGTTGGAAAATCGTATAACGTTTTGCCGCAACCTTTCAACAAATTTTGCACCTTTTGTAGGCAACGATTCTTTACTTCATCGTTTGTTAGCTCAGCCTCTAAAATAACAAAGTATATAATTAATTAATTGATAACAAAAATATATAGTTGTCATTAGTCATATAAAGATAAGACGAAAATAAGGAAAATAAAGTTTCTTTACTTCATTGCAAGGCTACATCTAATATGTGTCCAACAAAAAATATTAAAAATTAATCACTCAGAATTTGCAACCATAAATGTCGATAGTACATTACAGTAAGATATAATTTGTATGTAAGAATCATGTAAAAATATTTTTATAAATTGTTAATATAAAATCTTAAGATGAAGGTAAAATTGTATACCTGTATTATCCAATATTCTTCTTTGTTCATGTAAGATATCATCTGATAATAAAATCCATGTTGCCTCCCAAACATATTCTGGCCGTGACATTGAATTGGATAATAGTAACATAGCAAATAATTGCCTAAGATATGATGCCATTCCCCAATGACTTGCCTCCTTTATGGCATCAACATATTGTTTGTCATCATCTAATAAACCCAGTGCATAACATGCATCTCTAAAAGTTAAATGTTCGTGATTGTTGATTTTGCGTAAATCCTCATAACTCTTAGGTCCTCTAATGACATTCAACAACATTCGAAGGTAATATTTCTCTCCACTTCCAGGCGGTACAAAGAATATTCTCCCTATTGAAAAAGCAGAATTTCTTCTTTTTTCCCATTTTTTAAGTTTTTTATTCCATACAAATTTAAGAGGAAATTCCGCATAGGTTAATTCTCTTGCTTCTTCATATGTATTGTTTGCCTCAAACCAGCTTAAAAACTTTGATTCCTTTACACTTGGTCTATTGGCAACATCATCAATTGGATCATCATCAGAGAAAATAACTGTTTGTTCATTTGGTAGATGAAAAGAAAGTCTTTCTACTGAAGGTTCTCTATGGTTAATTGGAAATTTAAAAATTCTCCAAGCAGCTTCACACGGTGATATGTATCGACAGTCATAATACATTTTTATTTCATCAATTGCCGATGATTCTTCCTCATGCACACTTTGAGAAAATGCTGCAGTTACACGATCATGCCCCTTATTAACGTACTTAAATAAGTACTTGATTGATCGAGATTGATTGCACCATTCAACATTTATATGTGTGCCATACTTCAACAATAAATATATATTGTGTGGCACTACGTACCTGTTATCCAAGTCAATACCTTCTTTGTTGATAGTTCTACCATTGTCCCTTCTTTTATAAACAGGATATCCATCTTCATCAGTAGTGGTATTTTGTACAAACTTCTTTGGAAAGTGTTTTGTACATCTACCATTACGCATGCAAGGAGACGATTTTCTAGCAGAACCACATGGTCCATGCATCATGAAATTCTTAACTGCCTTATAATAACATGGATCGACTGATTCGTCAGGTATTTCTGCTGAAATTATTTGATCTATGTCTCCAACATTTGGATATTTATTATGAAGAAACAACAATATGTGTGCATGTGGCAACCCACGCTTTTGAAATTCTACAGTATATATCACTGCAACAAATAATAATTTGTTATTGGGGTAAGTGGTTGTGATTTATATGTAAAATAAAATATTTTATTAAATCATATTATAAATGTAATAACAATTTATTAAAGAGATTAATTGTATACCTGATTTAACTGGTCCAAAAATTTGTTTCTCTTTCAAATCCTTTATTAAACGATCCAATTTGATTTTGAAGACCCTACATAAAATGTCTGGGCGATCTTCTGCTTGCAAGCCCTTGCTCTTTACAAATCTAATAATTTCAGGCCACTTTGGGTTGCAAGTAAATGTGATGAAAAGATTTGGATATCCAGCCCACTTGCAGATTGCCATAGCATCTTGATAATTTTGAATCATGTATCTTGCACCCCCTGTGAAGCTAGAAGAAAGAATTACCCTTTTACCTTGAGAAGAAGGATTTATCTCTCCATGTAAAACAGCATCTTCTAATCCTTTGTACATATGAGCTCGCAATTGTTTTTGATGAGATCTGATATACTTCAACCTAGACGATTCAACCATGGTAAATCCATCGACCAAGAATTGTTGAAATAATCTTCTTGAGTTCACAATTGTTGCTACTTCGCCATTTCTTTCTTGAATTTTGTATGCAAAATATTCACGCATGCTAACAAAATTCCTTCCTCCAGTGGATTCATCTGTTCCATTTAAAGGAATGTCTTCCCTATAACCATCTTCACCAAATGGAAACAATAAAGGATACTGAAGACCTAAATAGGCAGCATTCAACTCATTTATCCTTTGTAGATGTCCAGATTGGGTTTCAACGATGATGTCTCTGTCACATCTAGATACATCAAAATCTCCAACTACCAAAGCAACAACCTCTGAAATTGTTGGTAAGTTGTATCTTCTTCCATCATAGTTCCGTTTTCCTATCAATCTGAGTCTAAAATTGGATTGAGTATCTTCCTGAAATTTGTCTCTGACGATTCTAAATGACTTTGTCAAAACATTCTGCTCATCAAGCATTTGTTTCAGATCTTGAACAATTTCAGCATGAAGTTGGTTTATTCTTTCATCACGACTGCATAAAAATAGGTTTTATAAAATTGATCTAAGTTAGTTTTTGTTAGATTATTCATGCATATATAAATTTTGAATAATTGAATACTAACCCCAGTGCATGAATTCTATTCTGAACTTCATTTTTTGTGTCGTATATATATAATTGTGCAAACTTGGGGGTGGATCCTTCAGGGGGCAATAAACTCCCGATTTGATGATAGTTTTGTCCAGATAATTTGAATGTTCTTGGCCCCTTTGTTTGGTTGACAGAAGCATCAACTTTTCCTCCCATTGAGATAAATGAAAACATTGAGTTATAACTTCTAATATTATCTCTGAAACGTTTACTTTTTGAACCTACATAAAATTATATGTTTGTCAATCAAGATTTATTCATATATTGAAGATAGTATTGAAGTATTGTAAAAGTCGATTTTGTTGTTACCAGATGCGAATAATAAGTTTTTTAAAATTATGGGAGGTTTTTTTGGCTTTGGGAGACGTATCTTTCCATGATTACAACACAAAGAAAACTCTGGTTTTTTAGCTTTGATTTTCTTGTTGATTCTTTCTTCGTACCAGAAGTAAGCACCACAATATTCACATTCATATGTAGGATTGCCTATATCCCAGTATTTGTGACGACCCGACCCGTCGTATCAGGTATTACTGCCCCATTTTCCTCATTTATTACTTCTTCATGTTTCATTACCGGTATGTGGTGAGTTAGAGTTGATTCGGATTGGTTTTGATAAGAAATGAGACACTTAGTCTCTTTTAAGAAGGCTTAAGTTGGAAAAGTCAACCGGACATTGACTTATGAGTTAGAGGGTTCGGATGTGATTTCCGGTGATTCGGTTAGCTTCGGGAGATGATTTGTGACTTGGGAGCGTGATCGGAATTTACTTCGGAGGTCCGGTGTAGAATTAGGCTTGAATTGGCGAAGTTAGTATTTTGGCGAATTCCGATTGATAGGTGAGATTTTGATATAGGGGTCGGATGGAATTCCGAGAGTTGCAGTAGCTCCGCTATGTCATTTGGGATGTGCGTGCAAAGTTTCAGATCATTCGGACGAGGTTTGGTAGACTTTTTGATCGAAAGTGCATTTCGGAAGTTTTTGAAGAACTTAGTCTTGAATCCGATGTGTAAATGATATCCTGAGGGTTTGAAACCCCGGATTTGCACCCATAGTGTTATATTGAGGTGACTTGCACGCCAGATAGAGAGCGTGGGGTAGAGCACCGTTGGGGATTGTGACTTGGTCCGTCCCGGTTGTTGATTTTACCGCGTATTTCGCTATGACTTGTTGTTTTTCACTAGGACTTGGGCTTATTGCCATATTTGGGGCTTATTGCCGACTGTTTGAACTCCCTATGAGCTATCATCACTGTTTTCCTCACTATTTGAAATATTATTTGAACTCAGTCCATTGTCATTACACTTTCATGAACTCAGCTATATTTTTACTCAACCTCGAGTTTTAACTGATATTTGAACTACTGTTTAAGCTGAGCATTATTGTTTCTTTATTGATGCCCGAGGGGCTTATGATTATTTTTGNCATCTTCAGTTGCATCATTATTTTCTGCAATTATTTTCACGTATTATTACGTTAAGTATTTAATCAAAGTACCATTATTTTGAATATTAGTATAAATATAGTTTATTTGTGTAATTTAATAGCTAAAAAATTTATTGATTTAAAATATACCTGGTACATCACCATCAATATTGACATCCTCAAATTCTAATAATAAGTTATAATAAAATGCCGTTAGTATATATAAACGATTCATGTTATATAAATAATTTTATTTATAATAAGAACCTTGCAGCAGGGGTAGCTCATTTAAATCTGGTAGAAGATAATTTCTCTACACATTTGAAGTTGCCAAACCAAATTGCAAATGTTTCTCTTGAGGTAAATTTGGATATCGTGCCTGAATTGAGATGATGAAGCGTGTGCACAACTCTCTAAAGGTGTATAATGTAATCGTGTGAAATGTTGACGATTTGTCATGTCTGTTAAAGGTTGTGTTGCCTTTTCTTTTCCAAAAGCATCCCCTCTGATAGTAGCAGGACAAATAAAGTCAGTAAACCATAAAACATACAAATCAGCTAACTAAAAGAAGTGGAATAAAATATCAGCAAGATGACATTAAACCAACATTGGCTAATACAGCCATTCATGACACCCATAAGGGACTGTAAAATTGCAGTAAATGAATGCCTAAAATCTATAATTGAATAACTTTGATTTTATAAACATATCTACTAATTTTCTAGCCAAACCTTTCTCTCCACAAGTACATATCCACAAATTAAATTAAATGTTGTTGCAGTTGTACGCTTTATTTTCTCAATCATCTCATGAACTAATCTCATTATCTTCAATTCCTAATACTCTGCAAAAATATTTATTATAAGACGGTACTGATTTGATGTATTCTAGTAATTTCATTATTGACCAAACCATAAAAAGAACTTGTAACCTAGCTTAGCACGCCTATTTGTATTCCCGTTATTTATAGTTTTCATATTTAGAGCTCTCATCTTTTATGAACAGCATTTACATACCAAACACTAATGACAAAATGACAATTAGTTTGTTCAAAAGATCAAGAACCTTGTGATGTTGCAAAGCGTAGTTGCTGCAAAGTCCAAATCAATATATGTTTAAGAAACTTAAGAATTTAATCAGAAATTTTGGGTAGAATAAGCAGGCAGGTACAAACACAAATCAACTATTAGCACGAACGATTAATAATACAAAGGCAGAACTTAAATATTTCAAAATGATTCAGATATCATTACACATGCGTGAAGGCGTTTCACTTTTTTCTAGCCTGCAAAAAAATAGAATGTCGGGAACTCAATGCTTGTGCCATATTCCCCCCTTGGAAAAATAGGACATTTGATAAGATTTGAACCTGAGCTTTCGACACAAATATAATTCTGATATAATCGCCTATTATTCGCGCTTTTAGTTGCATTGTAAACATTGTATCATAAGATGTAATTTCAATCGCTTTCTAATCACTCTAGCTAAGTTTCTTTTGTATCTACATAATAGAAATGTCATAATTAAAATCGGCGAGCCTCATGACTATTCCACTAAATTAAACTACCGCCTAATATTTTTTGTATTTTCAGATTTTGAGATGAAAGAGGTATAAATCATTAATTAAGAAAATTGAACATAGTGAACAACTTTAAGTGACCACGTCTCTAAAATTAGTAGTTTAGTTAAGTTAATTTAAACACCACAACATATATCACTTCTGCAACATACATGACGATTAATTTGTTCAAAAGAACACATAAAAATTTACTTAACAAATAACTTATGCAAGTGTACGGTGGACATTGACAGAGCTTTTGAGACATCCAATAGACACAAAATTTTTAAATAATTACGTGTGGCAATTATCCCAAGGAAAATCAGAGATAACAGAAGAGGAGTTAGGAAATATGTAGTATTTGGAAGCAGTGAACAAAGAGTCTGTAAGCAGCAGTCAGGCAAATCTGCAAAATAGTGGATAAAAGTTCATACCATTATTATCCGAACAATATTTCGGTTGTTTCTGCTTGCATATGTTCATCCATGTCAAATTGAGTAGAAACTGACTTAGGTGTGAGAAGTTCTTTTTTTGTTCAAAGGTGTGAGAAGTTGTAAAGCCGTGTGTTGAATGCAGTTGATGATACAGGGCATATACTGCGCCTCTTTTTCGCTTTAAATGGTGTATTTGTATTTCATTGTTTTTTTTTAAAGTAATTCTATATTTTAATATAAATCCCAATCTTTTCTTTTTCTAAATACAATAATATTGAAGTTGGGTTTTGGTGTGTTTTAATGGTTTACAACACAACGTAAATAGGATTAGATCTGTCCTACTGATTTTGAGGAGAAAGCAATAGTGTATTTTAAAAAGTTGGTTTTCTTTTGCTTTATTTTGTGGTTTTTGCATTTTAAGACCCTTTTTTTCCTTTAACTTATCTTTAATATGAGAAGCTAAACTTTTCTGCTCTGGTCCCGATCTCGCAGTAGTGATCCTCGCTTTGATGTCCGGGACTTTTCTGGTCTCTTCTGCTCCGGTCCCGGTCTCGCGAAGTGACCCTCACTTCGCTGTCCAGGACTTCTTTGGTCTCTTATGCTCCGGTCCCGGTTTCGCAAAGTGACCCTCGCTTCGCTGCTTCATTTACAAATTTGCTGCCTAAATTCTACATTTAACATTTTCTCTTCTTTTCCTTACTTTTCAATTCATATTCACATACGTTAGTTCATGCCATAAGGTCGTCGACGTAAATCCATGAAGAGATTATCTTTGAGATGATAAGAGATTAATCCTATTGGTCTTAAATGATACAAAGGTATATAAGGGTGGTTAACAAGTATTAGAAGTTAAACGAATCAAGGATGTTGTCAGCCGTATTTTTGGGTAAACCTAGGGGTGCTTAATACTCTCAAGAGGTCGTATTTTAAGGTATATGAATCATAAAATATCCGTATCATAGTCTTGAAGTCAAACGAGTTATGAAACAAAAGTCGACAAGAGTTGTTGCAACTTAAGTTCATAGTTTTACTTAAACTTTAGGTCAAATGTTATTAAGCTTTTCTCCCAATATACTTGGAATTACGGGGTGATCTACCTACCATATTGAAGATCTATGAGTCTAGTTTCCAACGCATTAAACCTTTTATCAATACGACATTGGAGTAGAGAGATATAGACATTTTTGCGAGACTGCACAAGCTGCTAGGTGACAAGTAGGTGGGTCACCTACTTGGTTAAATGATAGCCCAAAAAGAGGCGATTTCGGGTCAGACAAAGAGCCCATTAAAGGCTTATCTTCTGCAATATATCCCTCATTATATTTCACAAATAACCAGACCTAAACCCCTGCAAACTTCCTCCCAAAAATTATTCACAAACCCTAATTGATTTTCCCTCTCTTTCAAGTTCAAATTGGGGGTAAACCCTAGAGTTTGAAGAACCAAGATAAGGGCTGAGTTATCCAACAAGTAAGGTGAGTTTACTGCTATCTTTCATACATTTATTCTGCTGTGAATTCATGGTAATTCGTTCTACACATGTAAGAACTCACGGGACGGTGATCGGAAGCCGTGAGTTCGAGTTATTCACTTGTAGCGGACTGTTTTGTGGACTGTTTTGTGTTGCTGTTGGGCTGCGTGTTTTACTACTATTTTGTGGAGTTTTGGAGGAGGAAGGGTGTGGAGAAACACCATATAGATGTAGGGTTGTGGGCTGGTAGTTCTTCGTAACATTTCCG